TGAAGATCAAGATTTATTGACTTTTTTTTTTTATGGTGCTCTCTGCATTAGTTTCACCCTTTTGACGCTAGATACTTAAAATAAGTAAATAAACTACCAAATACTTAAAGTATAAATATATTAATTTTTTAATGATATATTCATAAAAATATTTAAATATTTATAAATAGTTTTTAACTTCATAAACTATAAAAATAAAATTATTTTAATCTTTAATGATTGTTACTTATTTTCAACGTTAATTTTAATGGAATGATTACCACGAATATAAGCGCAAAGGTTACAATCAATAAATGAATATTGAGTGACATAGTATCGCAGAAACTTCGAAAAGACTTAAAGACCACACCTCGTACTGGAGGTAAGAACTTTTTTTTTAAAAAAAATTAAATCTATAAAAATATTTGTTTCAAACTTTTGGTAGAAATTAATATGACATTTGGATTAAACTAATAAGTTGGTACATAATACATATTGTAATAGTACAATTTTCTTATTAAAGGGTTAAGCTTCATGTTTATTAGATGAAATTTAGGAAGTATTAAATTTGGGCAACACGACGTACGTGTACGCGCAACTTCCAGTATGCGACACGTACGCACAAACACAATATTGTCATACGTGGGAATACGTTCAATAAAACAAAAAAAACGAAAAAACATTCAAACAGAAATATTTTATGCAAAATGATATTTCAAAAAACTTTTGTCGGAGACGCATCTCAAATTATTGTACCAAGTTCTCTCTTTTCACTTTTTGTTTTTCCTTTATTTCGGGGCGTAAAATAATTTATTAGTTTTTCAAACTTTATTCGTAGGTTCTCTGTTATGTAAGATACACATATATAAATTTTCTAGGCATTTGTCACAGCCAAAAAAAAATGAAAAATCGCCAAAGATGGTTGTATCAAAAACGTGCTCGCCCACTCAACAATTAATTCTCCTTTATTTTTTTTAATTTTTATTATTATTATTTATTTTTAGTATTTGATTTTTATTTCAAATTTGGTAAAGAATTTTGGATAAGGCAAATGTTGTTTAGTTTATTCTTTTGCAGAACATATTTGTTTTTGAGATTTTTTTTTATTTTTTATTTATTTATTTTTTTTTTTTATTCGCGTTCGACCGAACGGCCGAACGCGTCGAGAGGGGGTGCCGAACATTTGGGCGTTCGGGGTTCGGGCGTTCGTCTTGTCCCGAACGCCGACAACCCTGTATATATATATATATATATATTTGTGATGATATATATATATATATATATATAAACATGTTTACCTGACCGAACGTTCGGGGTCCCCCGGGCTGGCCCCCGAACGTTCGGGCGTTCGGGGTCCCGTTCGGGGGCCGAACATCTCCAGGTTCTGCCCCCGCCAAAAAATTATTCGGGGCCTAAAAATAAGTTTGTTTTTCTGAATTGTTTTTTGTGAGTTCTCTATGATGTAACCTACACGCCTATAAATTTTGAAGCCATTTTGCTCAGCCATAACAACATTAAAAATCGTCAAAGATGGGGGTGTCAAAACGTGCTCTCCCACTCACTATTTTGTTTTTTTTCACTTTTAACTTTTTGTTTTCACTTTATTTCGGGGCCTTAACAAATTTATTACTTTTTGATAAATTTTTAATGAGTTATTGATTATGTAAATTACATATCTGTAAATTTTCAGGGCATTTGTCAATGCCAAAAAATAATGAAAAATCGACAAAGATGGCGGTGTCGAAAAGGTGCTGGCACACTCACTCATTTTAATTCTTTTTTTTTTTTTTTTTTTT